TTAAGCCAGCATCGTAAAACACATAGATCCAAAATGTATAAACTCTTAGCTTTGCGATAATTGTTTTCAGTTTTTCCTACAGATATATCTTAATTTATATTTTTAAACTGTTATCAAACGCTCAATTTCCTGATAACTACACTTTTAAAAAGGATAATTCAAAAAATGCAGGATTTCTTACTCGTAGTAGAAAGCCACTTTTAAAGCGTGTATATGCAATCACCCTCTGAATTGCGGTGATCGCAGTCATTTGGAAGTTTTATACATACAAGAATGCTCAAAAGTGTAGAAGTCAACTAATCGAAACCAATGACTCATTTTTTACAAAAAATAGACAAAAGAATCAAGGAATCGTCGTGGAATGCAAGAAAATTTTTTGCCTCTACAGCTATAACGCAAATGACTAATAAACTATTCAGACTTACGTAATACGTCCTAAGTTAGTCTCTTCACTCAAAATATTTTCTGAGATTTTCTATTTTTTATTGAGATTTTCATTGGTTTCCAGACTAATATATTCTGCAGTTTTGCTCTATTTACTTTTGCATGATTGGTCTACAAAGTCAGGGTATACAAAAATATCATGTGTCCTTTATGATTTTCATAACAGATTATCTTGATATTACATAAGTTACCTACTGCCATTTGCTATGCTTCATTTTCCAAATAATGCGGTCTCAAATAGAAAGAACACATCCCAAAATGGCAAAAAACCATTGTATTGTCAACTCGCTTATAAAATCGTGAATTTTAAAAAGCATTCCAGTAGAATGATAGTTTGATGCCTTTGAAAACGTCTCCCAGATCTTTATTTTGATTACCTATTATGTAGTTTGTCTTCCCAATAGCATTAACTCGGCTTTTTATTCATTATTGCTTTTTAAACTGAACGCATTTGATTGGTCTCTTTTGACCAATCAGCAACCACATATCCCTCATGAAGTTTTCTGTCTGAGTAAGATCTCATTACAGTTTGAAAACAGTGTTTACCAATGCTTGTAAAATCTCAAAATCTAACATTTAGAGAGTTTTATGGCAGATGACACATTTAATTAGCTTATTATGCAAAAAATATGCATTTAGCAGAAGTGATTAACTAAAAACGGAGAATTATCATATATTAGCGTGTTTATTTCTATATTTCAACGGCGGAGAGCTGTCGATAGTGCACAATTGTTTACAAGAAACAAATGGCTATCCACGTCTCAACATTTATATATCGTTATGGTTGATTCCATGGCCAACATAGCCACTTAGATCTTCAACTCCAATACATCCTATATAAGAGATACTTTGTTTCTATAGTGACTGATTAGCCATTGGGATGCACTTTAGGGCTACTTCATTGTAATAGAACTCGCCTATGAAATCTAAATGGCGATTTAAGAATTAACAGACGCGTGGCGTACGACTCATCGACTCGAGGTATGCGAATTGCCCTGTTGGGAGGTGACAAGCTAACAGAAAGAAATATTTATGGCTTTAGTATAATATCATGACGTCCTCTTACAAAAGGAAAAACAGTTTTTA